TGGCTACCCGTATTTTTGTGAACACTCTTCGGGCTGATGAAAGGCTAAATAGGTGCACTGACTGTTGAACACATAGTTACATTTATTACATAGTTACATAGCTGAAAAGAGACCTGCTTCCATCAAGTTCAGCCTTCCTCACAAATATTTTTGCTGTTGATCCAAAAGAAGGCAAAAAATCCAGTCTGTAGCGCTTCCAATTTTGTAACAAACTAGGAAAAAATCCCTTCTTGAACCCAAAATAGCAGTCAGATGTCTTCTTGGATCAAGCAGCTATCACCCCACTAATTAGAAATTATATCCCTGCATGTTATGTTTTTGCAAGTATTTATCCAATTTCAGTTTAACCCCTTAAGGACCAAACTTCTGGAATAAAAGGGAATCATGACATGTCACACATAAAAGGGAATCATGACATGTCACACATAAAAGGGAATCATGACATGTCACCTCAGGGATCTGTACTTGGACCCATTCTCTTTAATATTTTTATTAGTGATATTGCAGAAGGTCTTGATGGTAAGGTATGTCTTTTTGCTGATGATACTAAGATATGTAACAGGGTTGATGTTCCAGGAGGGATAAGCCAAATGGCAAATGATTTAGGTAAACTAGAAAAATGGTCAGAATTGTGGCAACTGACATTTAATGTGGATAAGTGCAAGATAATGCATCTTGGACGTAAAAACCCAAGGGCAGAGTACAGAATATTTGATAGAGTCCTAACCTCAACATATGAGGAAAGGGATTTAGGGGTGATTATTTCTGATGACTTAAAGGTAGGCAGACAATGTAATAGAGCAGCAGGAAATGCTAGCAGAATGCTTGGTTGTATAGGGAGAGGTATTAGCAGTAGAAAGAGGGAAGTGCTCATGCCATTGTACAGAACACTGGTGAGACCTCACTTGGAGTATTGTACACAGTACTGGAGACCGTATCTTCAGAAGGATATTGATACCTTAGAGAGGGTTCAGAGAAGGGCTACTAAACTGGTTCATGGATTGCGGGATAAAACTTACCAGGAAAGGTTAAAGGATCTTAACATGTATAGCTTGGAGGAAAGACGAGACAGGGGGGATATGATAGAAACATTTAAATATATAAAGGGAATCAACACAGTAAAGGAGGAGACTATATTTAAAAGAAGAAAAACTACCACAACAAGAGGACATAGTCTTAAATTAGAGGGACAAAGGTTTAAAAATAATATCAGGAAGTATTACTGTACTGAGAGGGTAGTGGATGCATGGAATAGCCTTCCAGCTGAAGTGGTAGATGTTAACACAGTAAAGGAGTTTAAACATGCATGGGATAGGCATAAGGCTATCCTAACTATTAGATAAGACTAGGGACTAATGAAAGTATTTAGAAAATTGGGCAGACTAGATGGGCCGAATGGTTCTTATCTGCCGTCACATTCTATGTTTCTATGTCCTTAAGGGGTTACACATGTGTATGAACTCTGATAAAACCATGTCTTCAGGCAGAAAATTCCATATCCTTATTACTCTTACTGTAAAAAATCATTTTCTTTGCCTTAGATGAAATCTCCTTTCTTCCAGCCTAAATGTGTGACATTGTGTCCTATGTATAGCCCTATTTATGAATAGATTTCCAGATAATGGTTTGTACTGGCCCCGAATATATATATATATATATATATATATATATATATATATATATATATATATATATATATATAGTATAATGTTATCATATCCCCTCTGAGGCACCGTCTTTCTAAACTAAAGAGATTTAAATTTTTTAACCTTTCTTCGTAACTAAAATGCTCCATTCCTTTTATCAATTGGATCCATCACAAAAAATTATTCTTGGGATACCTGCTAGTTCTAATTGGTACACATTTTTTATAACAAAAAACACTCATCAGTCTAGTGACGAAAGCAACTTTGCCACTGGTTCTTGGAGGGGCCTGCTGGCCAGCCTCTTGCCTCAGGACTATGGGTCCTGCAATATACTTTGCCCAATGCATTTTAAAAGGCACTGTTCTCATGTGAAGCATGAACTTTGTACTCCAGACGGAGAGACCAACTAGCCCTAATTCTCTGGAACTGTTTTGGGCATGGGACCATATGCACGGTTTTTATTGGCTTGTATGTTTTGTATTCAGTGCCCAACCAGGTCCACCTGGGCGTCACCTTTGTTGTACAACTTGTATAAAAGACCAGTGTGTACCATTAAACTTTCTGTTCCTGTTTGACCCTCAACACATAGTCTTGTCTCGTGATTGGAGGGGAACTGCTATACTCACACTGGGGATTGCTCTGCTCTGTATACTCCCCTGGGTTCTAATCACTTAGCTCTTTTAAGAGCTGTTCCTGTTACGCTCTCCTGGAGGAGAGGTCTTTCCCACACGGTCCTGGATGTCAGAGGTTGATCCAGGGTGGAAGGAAGACGGCCATATTCCAGTTAAGCTACGGCGGTTGTGAAGTCTGCGGAGTCCAGTGTGGTGGTTATGGTCCTCGGCGTCAGCTACGAAGCATCCGTTAATGGTACCCAGTTGGGGTACCAGGTGATCTGTTACAGGTCTGATGTAGTATGCTGCCATTTTGCCAAAAAAGAGTCTTCTGCCTACAAGTATGGCGTGATACATTTATATTCTTTTTGTCTGAGAATTTTTCTCCTGTATTCAGATGTATTCATCTGCTTCAACAGATCATCTAATTTGGAATCAAACAGTCTGCCTTGTTCAAAAGTAATGTCACACAGGGAATATTTGGAAGCTGAATCTGCTAACCAGCTTCCCAACCAGACTGCTTTTCTTTCCACCGTTGCTAGACCCATAAATTTTGTCTAAATTTTCAAGCTTCCTGACGGAGAATTGTGGCGAAAATAACCTCACCACTGGGTTTTGGAGGGGCCTGGTTGCCAGCCTTTTGCCTCAGGATTATGGCCCATCTGCTAAAACTTTGTTTTCTCCCTGTAAAAAGGCTTGACCACACACAAGTGGAGTGTGCAGCCAATTTACCTCCCAGGCTGGTGGTTAACCGCATGCTAATTGACGAATGGCTGGGTGATCGCTGTTCGTATAGTCGAACACGTGGTGGCGACCATCTTGCTTAGTCGAACGCGATCAGCAGTGTTTTGCTGTTGAGCTCATGGAACCAAAATCGGACACGCGATGGCACAAACACCGCTGAACCTTACCTTCTCCGGGACTTCGGCGCTTTGGCAGGACTCGATCAGTGTTCGACAATTCGAACACCACTTTAACATTGGCTATTTACACGAACGGCTCCCGTTTGTGCATTTAAACTGCATTTGAACTATGTGAACTAGACCGGTCAAATATGACTTCCAGGAATTTCCTGAACCTCTGCTCTGATCTGGGTGATTTTGGGATATGTTGTTCACCCAGATCAGGGCTATCCAGGGATGTATTTATGGAGATATGTGATGTTTTAGGGTGTTTTCTGTGTTTTATGTAAAATGTGTTTTTTCTGCTTGGGGATAATTGAGTTAATACAGTATCTTACTCAATTATCTCCCAAGCAGAGGGGAGGGTTTGTGTGCATTATCTGGGAGTGTCTAAATGTACAAAACTGTCCTGATTGGTTTTAGTGACTTTGTATTCTGTGTTCCACAAGGTACACGTGGGTGGTAACCTTGTGGGAAAACCTGCATATAAGACACAATAAACCCTCACACTGCTGAGTTCCTGTTTTACCGTCAACATAGAGCCTTGTCTCATGTGTGGGGGGAAAAGGCTGCATCTACACTGGGGGATTGCTACCCCCCTGGGCTTGTTCCTGCTACTCTCTCTTGGAGGAGAGGTTCACCCACTGGAACCTGGAGCCTTGTCATAGGTCCAGGGTGGGTAGAGGACGGCGAGTTCCCAGTCAAGCTGCAGCGGTTCGTGGGATTAGCAGTGCTTATGGTGTCTGGTGCGGTGCTGATGGTCCTTGGTAAGCACTAGGAGCATTGATGGAGGGTCCGTCACAGAATCAACTAAAAAAAATCTGATGCCATCTTAATGTTTTGATGTAATTGTACTGTATCTTCTTTGCACTCCCCCACATAGATATTTTCTAAAGACAAACAGCTTCTTTAAAGAAGAGTCAATAAAGTTTTTCCATTGAATCGTTCAAACCTCTGGAAACCCCAATGTGTTGTTTAATGACAAAACATTTTTGAAGTGCTTTGATATAAAAGGTTTTTTGCTGGAAATTCCCATTCCTTCAAAATCAAATCTTTTAATTGTTGATGAAAATGAAAATGTTTCAATTTGTTTTTCCTTTACTCTTGATTTGTTCCTGATCACCCATTAGAATCTGTGCTTCTTTAATATGTTTTCCAGTATATACTTCTGGAAAACAAAGTTCTTTATCATAAGAATCACTAGAACTATCTACTACTGATCTTGGAGGAATGCTGCATAAGAGAATTCCCATGTTATGTGCCATTTCTTAGCAGGTGCTTTTACTGTTGTATCACGGGAAACAGAGGCATGCACAGAATGGATAGCTGCATACTGCATGCCAACAAATGTTTGTTGTAAATTTTGCTGGAACCAGCTTAAGAATGATGACATCTCTGATTGTTTCACTTTGTCTAAAGTCTTTAGCATGGGTTGGGAACATAGTGAAATTAAATGTTTTGATTTTGTAGTAAATTTTCTTTCTCTTAGAGGACCACTATATTCACCCAGACCACTTCAGCTCAATTAAGTGGTCTGGGTTCCAGGTCCCCCTAGTTTTCACCCTGCAGCTGTAAGCATAGCAGTTTCTCTGTTTACATTGAGGGTTAATCCAGCTTCTAGTGGCTGTTTCCCTGACAGCCACTAGAGGCCGCTTCCGCAATTCTCAATGTGAAAATCACATTGAGGGCACGCTGGACGTCCATTGGAAAGCATTGAGTAATGCTTTCCTATGGGCCGAGCATGCACATTCGGAACTGACGTCGGCAGGGGGAGGAAAGGTCACCAGCACTGAGGGAGCCCTTCTTGCTCTACAGTATGTCTAATCCGGAGGCTGTTTTTCCAGGAAAACAAACTCGTTATTAGGTCTCCCCCTCCCTCAGGGCCCAGCAGGAGGGGTGGACCTAATAACGAGTTTGTTTTCCTGGCACCTTTAAGCTCTCTCAGCAGCCTCAGGATTAGACATACTGTAGAGCAAGAATGTCAAATTCAAAGGCTAGCACAGGCCAAATAAACAAAGTTTACGTTTATGTGGGCTGCTTTAAAAATCAAACATTTTCATTTTGAAAAGTACAATATAAAAAAAAATCCTAGCATCACCCTCTACTAAACCCCAGCACTCTCCGGTACTAAACCCCAGCCCCCCCTTTACACTAAAAACCCAGTCCCCTCCTCTATACGAAATCTCAGTACCCTGTCTAATTTAAAAAAAATAACCAATATTAGCCAACATGAAGACTCCACTCACATTGCTGCTGCCAGTATGCGACTCCGGAGTCCGGCCTCTGGTATACCCCCAATGGCGCCGTCCGCACCCTGTGCCAAAGCGGATCATCCTGCTTCTCCTTGAAACCCTGTGAAAGTGGAGCACATTGACGTCATGTGCCCCTCCAATTCCTCCACTGTCCAGCCACGGCCATCGCAAAACTGACAGACACACACTCACTGACCGACACACACACACTATAGATATAAATGCAACCAAGGCAATATAGAGGATACAGCTTGTGATGGACCACCTGGCACCTCAGTCAATCACTGCTTCCTAGTACTTGTGAACACTATGAGCACTGTGCTGGAACACCATAAGCACCGTGGACCCCACAAACCGCCGCAGCTTGGTTGGGGTCTCGCCGTCCTCCACCCACCCTGGACCCAAGACCAAGATCCAGCTTCTAGTGGGTAGACCTCTCCTAGTCCAGAGAACTTAGCAGGAACAGCTCTTATACAAGCTAGTGATTATACTCAGGGGAATATTGTGATATGTAGTGAATGTAGTTCTCAAATCCCCAAAACATGAGCCAAGACTTCATGAAGGGGTAAACAAATCTCTCTTTAATGGGAGCCATACTAGCCTTTTGTGCAAGTCCCCAAGCAAGTTGTACGCCCACATGGACCTTGTTGGGGACAGACACACAAACTTACAAACCAATAATAACACATTTACAATGTAAGGCACTCCCACACATGGCATACAATCCCTCCCCTCTGCCTGGGAGATAATTGAGTCAGGTAATGTATTTAACCCAATTATCTCCAGGCAGAAAAACCACATATTTTAGAAAACTCCCAAAGTACCTTAGTGTGTAAAAAAAAAAAAAAAAAAAAAAACCTTATCACTTGTTAATAGTAATGGTCATTTTTATAAATTAATAATCCGTGATTTCCACCTGAAACTGCAGCATGCTTACCAGCTGGCAATCCTGACTTCCAGGCTTGAAGCAGAGCCTCCCAAGCCACAGCTCCCTCACCCTGCTTTGAGGAAAATAAGAAAGGGTAAGCCTGACTACCTCTACTGCCGGGGGCAAGCAAAGAACTGGGTAGCATTCATGTAGAGGGCACTTTATAGTGACGCAGAAGACCTGAGCAAGGTTCTAAAAAAGTTTGCTGGTTTGCCTGCTTTTTTTCCCCTATAGATTAGAAATCCCTGTTGTCATGCACTGTCTCTAATCTGAAGGGAAAATATCTCTCTCCTGTCTGCAGAAACTATAATATGCAAATCTGCATGGATATGCAAATTACAGAGTCTTGCTATTCAGGTAGTGCACATGCAGTTGCAACCAACAGGTGGTGCTGTACATAACTGTTGCAATATAACGGCAACCAACAGTTGGCACTGTACAGGTTAAACCAGTGGTTCCCAAATTTTTTAGGTTCAAGGCGCACTTAATATTTCAATATTTTTTCAAGGCGCCTCAAGTCAAAACAATTTTCTAGGTTGTATATAAGTACAGCACTGTGACATATACTGGGCCCCTGTTCGGCAGAAATGCCTGCCTTTCAGACGCAGATCCAGAACCTAATCATGGGAGGGGCACTGGTAGATTATTTAAAGAAACAATTCCGGCACAAAAACCACTACTGCACTTTGTAGTGATTACCGTGCCAGTAGTGCTGTAGTGCACTCCCAGGGTAAGTAGTCAAACTGTTTAAGCTGTTTAACAACTTACCCGGAATAGGGGCAGTAGTGTGTGTGTGAGGGGTGCAATATGTGTGTGTGTGTGCGTGTGTGTGTGGCGGGTGCAGTGTGTGCGTGTGAGGGGTGTAGTGTGTTTGTGAAGGGTGTAGTGTGTGTGAGGGGTGCAGTGTGTGTATGTGGGGCAGTGTTTGTGAAGGGTGTAGTTTGTGTGAGGGGTGCAGTGTGTGTATGTGGGGCAGTTTGTGCTTGAGGGGTACAGTGTGTGTGTGAATGCATGGCAATTTGTGCTAGAGGGATACAATGTGTGACTATGGGGGGAACAGTGTGTGTGTATGTGGGGCAGAGTGTTTGTATAAGGGAACAGTGTGTGTTTATGGGGGGAGTTTTGTTGGTCTTTCGGGTAGGAGGAAAATTTCATAAATAGATGTATTTTTTTTTTTTAATTAAAAACAATTATTTTCATATATAGCTGTGCCTGGGAGGGGTGAGAGTGAACTCTAGCAGCCTCAGGCAATGCTCCGAACTAGCAAGCGGTCCTATCTCTTCCCTGCCGGCTGTCAGCATTACACTGCTAGCAGGCCGGTGGGGGAGATCTCTGATCTCCCCTCCGGTCCTGGAGAACCCTCAGGGGAGAGTGAGGCATGGTTTCCGGTGCTATGATTATAGCACCTGGGAAACATTTCCAGGGGTGCCGCAGTACACAGTTTGGGAACCGCTGGGTTACACAGACAAATCCACCTAGTTAGTAGAAAGCATCAGAGGGACAGAAGAGCACACAAAACATTTAACAATAAACAATACATTTTAGACCCCAGGCACTATAATGGACACAGGGTGACTAAGACACAAGAATAACCTGGGTACTACAACAAATCTCTGTCTTCAGCCCCCAGTGATGGTGACTGCTGTCCCACCTACCACATGTACAGCAGCTTTGCATAATTGCATTCCTGAAATACACATCTATGAACCAAACTATATCAACGGGTTTGTCAAATATTCATCAGGTATGCAAGTGCTAAAAAGAACTGTCATCTATATTTTTTAAGTAGGGTAATAATGTAAGTAATTCATGTTTTGTTTTATTGACAAGACTTGCTGATTCTACTCCTGCTCCCAAAACAACTTAAATAAGCGTAAGCTGTTATGGGGGTGGTAATATTCTTTAACTATGCTAAGATGAAGAGAAAAATAGAGGATGAGATAATATAATTATGGCATTTCACTTGTAAATACTACATAGTACCCTGTATACATAGGGCATGAATAATATGAATTACATTTAGTTCAAATGTATAAATATTGTGCTAATTGTTCTTATACTAATGTTTGCATAATTAATACTTGTCTTGTTTGCTCCAGTGCTCTTCACTTTGTCTGGAAATGGAGAAGGGAAGCCTTGCAAATTCCCTTTCAAGTTTCAAGGTACCAGTTATGATAGCTGCACAACAGAGGGAAGAACTGATGGCTACAGATGGTGTGCAACCACAGAAGACTATGACAAAGATAAAACATATGGATTCTGTCCTGAAACAGGTAGGAACAGGTTTACATAGGGGTATGTTTTTGCCATGTTTGCTCTATATAGATAGCTCTCACAACATCCTTTTATTATATAGGCTTCCCACTGTTCTTATACCGCACCCTACTTCTTCCTTTATAAAAACAAAAACCACATCAAGTGCTACCTAGTTATTAACTAGTAAAAGCATATGTGATTACCCCCTTCATAATGTTTTTAAACTGAATTTGAGTTAAAGGGACACTATAGTCACCTGAACAACTTCAGCTTAATGAGGTTGTTCAGGTGAGATCTATAGCTCCCTGCAGCCTTTCTCTTGTAAACACTGTATTTTCTGAGAAAATACAGTGTTTACACTGAAAGCTAGGAACACCTCCAGTTGCAGACTGCCGCCAGAGGGACTTTCGAGTTGATTGAGGCATACAACTCCTCAATCCACTCAGATCTGCTGTCAGCAGACAGAGGGCAGCTCTGTGCACATGCATTCTGTCTGCAGGCTGTCACCTGGGATTGAGAGCTGACAGGGGAGGATTCAAACTGTAAGTAAACTTATTGAGTGAGTTTGGGTGGGTGGCTGAGGGTGAGAGAGTGGGAGGGAAGGAGAGAGAGGGAGATATATAAATAGAGGTGGATAGATAGAGAGAGAGATAGATATATATAGATAGATAAATAGAAATAGATAGAAATAGACAGATATAGATAGAAATAGACAGAAATAGACAGATAGAAATAGATATAGATAGATAAATATCGTTATCTATCTATATCTATTTCTATCTATATCTATTTCTATATATCTTTATCTATCTATATCTATTTCTATCTATCTAAAGATAGAAATAGATATAGATATAGATATAGATAGAAATAGATAGATAGAAATAGATATAGATCGATAGATATATAGATAGCGATATAGATAGAAATAGATAGATATATATATAGATACAATAGATATAGATTGATAAAAATATATAGAAAGAAATAGATAGATATAGATAGATAAAGACAGATAAATAGAAAGAAATAGATATAAATAGATAGAAAGAAATAGATAGATAAAAATAGATAGATACAGATAGATAAAATAGATAGAAATAGATATCATTAGATATAGATAGATATAAATAGATATATAGAAATAGATAGATAGATAGAAAGAAATAGATAGATATAGATAGATAAAAATAGATAGAAATAGATAGATATAGATAAAGATAGATACATATAAATAGATAGATAGATATAAATAGATAGATAGAAATAGATCAATATAAATAAATAGACAGACATGGATAGATAGAAATAGATAGACATAGATAGATAGAAATAGATAAACAGAAATAAATAGATATAGATAGATAACAGATATAGATAGGTACAAATAGATAGAGATAGATAAATAGAAAGAAATAGATACAAATAGATAGAAAGAAATAGATAGAAATAGAAAGGCATAGATAGAAATAGAAAGGCATAGATAGAT